TCGACAACATGCAACCGGCCTTTGTTAGACAGGTCACGGATCTACGACAGAGAAGGTCGACGAGCGGACGGAAGATGATCCAGGAAATCCGAAAGAAGAGCCCAAGGCCGACTCATAAGGATGAAACGAATTGCTGCATCACACACAGGTTCGTTACGTTGCTCACGAGCCCAATCAGCATACGAGAAACGTTCGACAGACGCCCGGAAGACTAAATTCGCCGAAGAATGTAAAGCCGCCTCGATAGAAGAAGGGGCCGATTCGGGAGGCTTCGACCGCAATCTACCCGAAGGCAGAGTGGCAGCGGAAACCGAGGACGAAGCCGTACGAGTGATTGAAACCGAACTCGTCGGAGATTCCGAAGAATCAGGGCAGCAGAAGACTGCGGGGTAGGATCCACCGAAGTGGCAGTATGTGTCGAAGATGCAAGATCCCTTCCACGAGTCAGAGGTGTAGGAGGATCCGGGATCGAACCACCAGTACCAGGAGTCGAAACCAACCTGGTCAAAACGGGGAGCATAGTCGAAGCTGAAGGCGCGGGCGCAGAGCGTCGAAACGATCGAGGCGAAGCGGAAATCCGAGTGGGAGCAGGTGGGTCCTCAGAGAAGCCATCATCCACGGGCGGGAGGGGCTTGCCTGCCACAACCGCCGTACTGCGACAAGTCCGCGTGGAAATCACTTGAGTGGGGTCGAGAGTCTGTCGTGATGTGGCGGTCGGCGAGACGGCCAGAGAAGACTCGAGCTCGGGAGCCATAACATCCTACACCGATAAGGAGCCAGGCCAAACTACAGGAGGCCGCTTACGCAGTCTTGAAGGAGGCAACTCGCGGAGTTTCTTGGACGGCCAGGGTGCGATGTTCCAGATGCCAGGCGGAGACGAGAGGCCGATGGCGAGAGACGTGGGCCATGCCGACAGAAGTCGACGAAGTCAGCTGCAGAGGGGGCCAGCCCACCCAAGACCGAAGCAGGGGTTTGGGGACGAGCCCACTCAAGCCAACACCCACGGCGTATTGCCCGGAAGGCGTAAGACCACAAGAACGGATGAAGCACACGCCCTCCTCATCATGTACCCGTATTTTGTTGTCGTGCTGCAGCGCAAATAAATGGTTGATTGATCGTGTCTCTGACTTGTGCATTTGGTTGCTGCCCCCCACGTCGGCTTGCCGCTGCCCACAGCTATGAATGGCGCCACCGAGAGCGTCGTGCAGCGAACCCTCTACGACAAAGTGTGCTTCCAGCACGAGCTCGACGAGGCCATCAAGCGCGAGATGAAGAAGGACAAAGTTACTCAGGCAGACATTCGCCGGATGTATGACAGGGTGAGCAGGTTGTCGATGTTGAATAAAAACAATCTTAATACAGAAGCTCTGTGTCTGGCCATAATGTTGTTGCTGACATGTACTATACTCCTTGACCCTCACAGACATCAGTGTATGTCAACCCAGCAGCCCGTTTGTTGTTCACCTGCGCTCTATATATTCGTGGCACTTCCTCCGCGTAGTCTGTGCCCCTTGCGTCTTTTATCAGAATTGTTGCGACAGCAGTTGTAGTGGAACGTGCAGCAGCAGTCCGGTCGCCGCCCCGTTTGTTCGTACCAGCTATTTACAGCAGTTTGTGTTTGTATAGACCCTCGCTTCAACGTTGTGCTTCTCCTTGTCTCAAAAGTGCGTTGCGGATGACTGCGTTCTTCCGGCCATCTTGCGCAGAAGAAAAACATGCTTCTACGAAGTAACTGGTGCAAGTTTTTAAGTTTTTCTTTCGTCGTAGTACCCTGCAATCGGTCGCTACGCGACTGAGACCTGTGTGATGATCCGGTCACTTTCGTCGTGCTTCCCGGGCGAATGTTGTTTCTCTTTGCCGCCGATAGTGAAGGTGGGTGTTGCTCCACCCCCCAAGCAACTGTTCGGAACTGGCAGATGGCCGTGGACGCTCTTCACCCAGAGTGATTACAGTACTGAAGGAAGTGTGCGAGTCCGATGAGGCTGAGGTGGATGGTGCCGCTGTTACCATGACGTACTTGACCCGGAAGGTTTTTGCAGAGTTCTCCGCTCTCCAGCAAGGGCTTTGCATTCACCTCGTCTCCAAGCAAGCTGGGTCGCCGTGGTGTTGTTGTTGGCACAGAGTCACCGGCGGTCGCCACACGTTTCTCTCCCTCCGTGTGTTGAATACATCGGTCCGTGAGCAGAGTTCCTGTGATGAAGGCTTCCTATGCATACTCTGTTCCTCTTTGTTGTTTTTTCCAATCAAGTCTCGGTCCGTACTACAGTACAGCGATGAATAGGAGAAAAATCCTGCACGAAGATGCCCGTTTTTCAACGGTGTGTCGCTCCCTGACGCCCAACGTGTTGTTGATTTTCCCGCAGGTAGGTTCAAGTTCATGAAAAAAAGGCTGCCTGGCGCGACAGATTACGTGGACATCGACAAGAACGCCAGAATCGCCGCGTCCTTTGTGGAAAACGTCCTCAATATGGTGCGNAGGCTGCCTGGCGCGACAGATTACGTGGACATCGACAAGAACGCCAGAATCGCCGCGTCCTTTGTGGAAAACGTCCTCAATATGGTGCGCAGAGATGACTGGACACCAGAGCTACGAAGGTTGGTACACATATGGGGGATGCTGGGAGGTGCTTGCGGTCCGTGTTTTTTTCCATCTCCTGTATGTACCTTGTACAACCGCCGCGATTGTTCAATCCTTGACGGGCTAAAATGTGGTATTCAGTCAGACTAGCGACGGGAAATACAGCGATGAACTGTTTCGAGGTGCTTTGCGGGTGGCTCGTGGCCTGATTTCTTGTTTTCTTGGAAAACACGTTCATGGGCTATTATTTCGCATCCGCTCCGACCTTGGGACTTGTCGCGTAACGATGCACGACGTTCAATCAAGAAGTTTACATGGACCCTGACTGATTAAATGTACGCAACACTATATCAGGGAAGTCAACAGGCTTTCTCACGAAAAGCCCAACCAGCTCGCCCCGTACGTCAAGCCCCACCACGAGAAACAGGCGGACGAGGCGAAGAGACTCCTGGACAAGGTCTCCACTGGCGACAAAGCCTCGAGTCATGTGGTGCAGCTGAAGGAGTCCATCTCGACGGTGGTGCCATCGATGCCGCTGCCACGGATCAGAAATGTCGTGTGACTCCGTGTGTTTCGATATGTATTCTTTTCTGGTAGTGGAACGCCAAGATGCTTCTGGATTTCCCATGATTATCGTGGGTGATTAGTTGGAATCCTCGTGCCGCTGAGAACGGAAAACTGATAACAGTAACCTGGAGAGACCCAAATGCTCAAAACACCTAAAAAGTAGTCACCACTTTTTTGCGAACAAGTCTTAGCTTCACCTCGATGCTCAAAATCACCCATTTTCCCCAACGACGCTATCCTCCACCACCTCCCACGTCTAGATTCTCTCGAAGGACGCCACGCTCCGCGACCATCTTATGTCCTGGGACGCAAAGTACCAGGACGTGATTAACCAGGTAAAGCTCCACAAGGTTCACTGCGGGACGGGGGGTGGAGATGGTAGTGGCGGCGGTCCGCCCAACGGCGGTGAAGGAGGTGGGGGGGGGGACGACGAAGGAGGGGACGGGGG